GCCCAAACGTTTGCACCCCACTGTATAGGACCTTGAGGGACTACAGATGAAAACTTGCCTCCATGGCTAATTCTGGCATTTTCTGTAATATGCACTATCACTTCTTAAATAAARAAACAACAACAACAACAAAAAGTTTCAGGTCTTTATAAAGAATCCTAATACTTCTGCACAAAGTTAATCGTAATAAATCTTGTACAGTCTACTCAGTTCTTTAAATCTCATTCTTACATTGATGGAGCACATCGGAGGTAATGAGGGATTCAGTGTTTTGCCCAGAGGCACTTCAGCATGTGACTCCATACAGCCAGGAATCAACCTTTAAACTCTCTCAGAGGACGACTGCTCCAACCTCTGAGCTACATCTGTTGCCATGGTGATCTAGCCACGCTCAGAGAGGTTCATCTTTGTGATTCTGAAAACTGACTCACTCTAACTGACAAAGCAGTAAATCTGACTTTATAGTAAATCCTGTTATGTCTTTAAAATAAGTGGTCAAACAAAGATGTGTATTTTTCCTATGGAACAAAGCACGTACCAAACATATGCAGGGGTGGGCCACAGGGGCATTGGCCCCAGCTAAAATCTGATTGGCCCCCTGAAGTGCCCCTGTCCTTTCACTCATCTGTTCCTTGCCTGAGATTGGTGATGATGTGTGCAGTTCCATATCCAAACACTAGTGGCGCTAATGAGTCAAATAGGAAAATCCAGTTTGAATGTTAGGGTTAGGGTTAGCCCTAACCCTAACCCTAACCCTAACCCTAACCTTACACAATATTTCTCTTCTTAAGAAAATCTGAACAATCTTGCAGAAAAAAGTATTTCAGCTGACAAATACTGGCTGCATTTCGTCATATGCTGTGTGCTTGAGAGCATTTTATCTATGTACAGTAAAAGTACATGTAAAATTGCTAAGGATAATTAACTGTTGAAGCTTTTTTAATTGCATTACATTACAAGTATTTGAACATATGACTGGTAAAATGTATACACCTTACCAAAACCAGGGATTTAAACACAACAAATACTTGGCCCCTCTATGAATATTGTGGCCCCTTGATGGCCCCTTACTCAGAAAAATCCTGGATCAGCCYCTGATCATATGACACATACCCATGTTCAGTACTAAACTATGTGTAGGTAAATGATCCACTTTTTAAAATCTATTTAGTAGTTTTCTTTTTTYTTTGTGRTTCTTCTTGCCTACTATATTTATCAGTCCAAAGTCTGTTAAATAGTTAAACTTTATCCACCACTAATGGTCCCTAACATCTGTGACACTTCTAGTCTATTAGTTGATTCCCTGCTGCAGTGTGGGCAGACCTGGGCCTTGGTTGAAATATATTATTAATTCTTGTAATGTTCTGCTGCATTTAATATTTGACATTGATAAATATATTTACTCTAACTGCACTGAACTCAACTTTACCTTGTCCTTCAGTCTCTCACTGCCCACCACTGTAAAAATATATTTAAAATGTCTATTTTTTAGTAACCTCTAGTGCTGACATACAGTATCGTAGCACACCTAAATGTTTTTTTTTTTAAGTTGAAAGAACTAACAACTCTCAAGGTTTCTTGTTAAAACTGAGATGTCTTAATGTTTGGAGGGAGTTTTTAACTCTGGTTTATAAAACTTTATGAAAAATGTGATCAGAATTAGAGGCATATAAGAGGCAGAACAAGTTTGGAAAAAAAGTTGATTCTCTTCTAAAAAATCTTTATTCAAAAGTCTGAACTCCATKCCATCTCACAGCTGTGCGTTTGAGGCCTTGAGTCTTACCAGAAGCAAAACAATATGGTAAATGGTAAATGGATTGTACTTATATAGCGCCTTTCTATCCATCCAGGACACTCAAAGCGCTTCACACTATAGACATTCACCCATGCACACACACATTTACACACTGATGATGGCAAACTACATTGTAGCCACAGCTGCCCTGGGGCGCACTGACAGAGGCGAGGCTGCCATACACCGGCACCACCGGACCCTCTGACCACCATCAGTAGGCAAGGCGGGTAAAGTGTCTTGCCCAAGGACACAATGACTGAGTCGACTGGACAGCGATCGAACCGGCAACCTTCCGGTTCCAGGACGACTCCCCTAACCACTCTACCACAGCCGCCCCAACCCAATAACAAACCTTTTAGCAGGAGCAGCTGCTGTTCAGGCAACTCTAAGGGTGTATTCAGACCAGGAAAGTCCTTTGGTCCAATTATTTGGTCCAGACCAAAAATGGACTTTTTTTTTGTTTGGTGTGGTTGGCATTCACATTGTGCTTTTTTGCAAACGAACTATAACTTGTAAACAAAGCCATGAGGCTGACGATCATTGCTCCCACTGGACAAAAAAAGGACGGGGGCGGGACTGAGCCACAGACCCAGAAGAAAACAAGGAAGTCCTGCYWYCTGCGGTTCTGATGCGCACATTTTTGCTGATAGTACAACTGCAATAGCATTTAAAATGTCAGAAGCAGCTAYTTTAATGGTGGTTCCGTGATGATACGTATTCTAATTTTGGAGCGGCGTCAGTAAATGTGTCCCGCAACCCAAAGGAGACGAGGTGCTCTGCGTGTTCTGACCCACAGCATGCCGGCAGTAGAGCTTCTAACAGGAGACGACGAAACAGGTATGTTTTCAGTTTATTTAGCTCAGCAATGGTGGCCTGTGAGGTCCAAAAAGGTGCATGTTTAATGCAGTTGGTTCGGTTAGAGTCCGGTCTGTATTCACACCAGAAGCAAACTGAAGTGAACCGCACCAGAGTTCGTTTGGAAACTAACCGAGACCACCTCAAAATGCAGGTCTCGGTCCGGTTGTTTGATCCGCACCAGAGTTCTCATGAGTGTATTCACACCTGCACAAAAGGTCCGGACCAACGCTGGAAACAAACTCTGGTTCGTTTAAAGCGGAGAAAATTATCAGGTCTGAATACGACCTAAAAGAATAATGAGAATAAAAAGAATAATCACRCTTGTAAAGTCATGCAGATAAACCTAACTTCCTGATCACACCCCTGGGGGTGGTACCTCTTACATCAGACATTGGAATGRAAAACAAGCTTTTGTTTTGACTTTTTAAAGTATATGACTTCAAAAAGTGTAAAATAAAAAGACTGGATCTTAAATTCAACTAATAATACACAAAATTTCCAACAAATCATTATCAGAATCCATCCTCACTTTCAACATTTTKGGCTGGTAATTTCCTCATGGTCAAATATAAAACCAAACTGTCCTGTATTATTAACCAGGTGAGCAAAAGTACAGGATTACCACAAACATCTCTTTGTGAACTGTTAAAGAGCTTTGTGATGAGGAAGGCTATCCTAATCAAAGAGAATCCATCTCACCCCCTCATCACTCATTTTAGCTGCTCTCATCTGGCAAAAGGTTTGACGTTTACAAGAAATCCTTCATACCATTTACAATATCTTCCAACTCTTTAAAATGAGAACTTTTCCTCTTAACAGTTACTGAAGGTGGGTATTTTGTATTTCCCCGGTACATAGTTCAATTTTATACCACAATCAAGTTACAATATTACCTTTAGCTGTTCTTACAAAGCTGTATATGTATATCAAAAATAAATTTTACTTTGCAGTGTATGAGTAATAACAACAACAACAATAATAATAACAATAAACTTGCTTTATATAGCACTTTCCAACAACGTCTTGCATTGACCAAAGTGCTTCACAAGATAAAACAAATAAATACAGAGCACAATAAATTAGTGCCAGTTAAAAACACAACCACAACAAGACAAGGTAAAAAGAAARATAAAATATTCAAAGTGAAACGGCAAAAGCCCTTTTAAATAAATAAATCTGAAGCTTGGTTTTGAACAGAACCAGGCCAGAGATGGCARGCAACTCACTAGGGGTGTAGGAAAATATTGATACAGCGATATGTATRGATATTTCATTTCCTGATACTGTATTGATTTTCTAAAGCCCTGTATCGATTTTTAATTAAGGTTTAAAATGTCAACTTTCCTGCCAATGATTCATTTTTATGTGGTAATTCAGCCTCTGACCGCTAGTTGGCAGCCGTGAGCCAGCCATTTGGCTCCTCTACTGCTAAAGAGCCAAAGAGTAACAGTAGCATTAGCATGGTGAGTAAACATTAGCTTCATGCACCGATAGCTGAATCTGAGCAGAAAAGATCAACACCCTCTACCATCTAAGCTGAGGTAAGGTTACCAACAATTCTTTGTTAGTCAGAATGTCTGTATTTTAAGCCAAATTGAAGTGTCTCGTCCAGGGCGCTCTTTTTCCAACTGTAGTCAGCTGTCACGTTACGGAAGACAGACAGGCAGTCAGTCATGTGTCTAGCGCCTCGGGGGTGTTGTGCCAAATTCAGTTCCTCTGTGAAAATCTGTTCCCCCTGTGTCTGGAGGGCACCCTTCAGCCAAAGAGGCAGATCTGACCATTTTCACAGCGTTTCTGATGAATTTCTCGGTAAAAGGACTCACACAATCTTGTCAAGTTAACTTTCTGTTTAATCATCAGCTGCTGTTAAACAAAACCGTCTAAAATGAATAAATAAATAAAACCTGGCCTTTTTTTAAATCACAGAATAATTCCTTATCATTCCTTTTCCAACTTTTCTCATGTTCTCTTTAGCCTCACTGTTTATCAGTCAGCCACCAAACACTGTCTTCCAACACATTGTGTGTATTTATAATTTTTTATTCATGACAAGAACCAAATATTCCAGTTGTTTAAAATAATCTGTTCCCTCTCTGTAACATGGGAACAAAATAATTTACCTCCAAGTCTTTAACTGTG